GATCTGCTTCTGTCTTCTGCCAACTCACATTAAAGCGTGTCACTGCAGTGTGTGTGTGTGTGTGTGATTTAAATAAAAAAGAATAAAAAGTTAAAATATTAATTAAAGCTAAAGCAATATGGGGATATGTTCATCCTTACATGTGCATGCAGCTGTAGAGCATTTACAACAAATCAAATATCAGATGTTTGCTTCTTTTAAACACGTGAAACAATAACCTGTAACGATCTGTGATGTTTAGGAAAAAACATTCAAAAATCGATTTGGCTCTAAATAATTTTGCTCTGATTTTAAACCAAATTATGTAGCACAATAAACAAATGCTCTTTCACGTGATAGTGCTGTGACGCCATAATAAAATGCTTTCAAATGAGCCCTCATATTATTTGCATCGCGGGCTATTGATGTAAATTTCTCTTTGGTATTTGAATTTGCAATTGCTTTTTATATTGGCCCCCATTTAAAACAATGAGTAGGTGAATAGCCATACATTTGATGTCTACGTCTGTGTGCGAGAAATGTGTAATATAATGTGTGTTTGTGGATCACAATTAATATACACAGAAATGCACAGTCCTTTCAAAAGCAGAAAGTCACATTTTCAGAGAACAGAATAATTATCCTGATTGCTTTAAATGTACACCTCGAGAAAAACGTATATATGATGTGAGAGGAGATGCTCTGGCACTGTTCATTTCCGTAGTGATAAATATAGAATTCTAATATTTTACCAGTAATAAAGCTCACACACACACACACACACACCCACACACAGACAGGGTATTTTGCATACACACTCAAACATTCATAGGCCGCACTGTAAAACACACCCTTCATACCATGCCCTCAGGTGTGTGCCAGGGGTTGTTGTTTTCACTGTAATATATAGTTAGCCCTTCCACCAATTTACCCTGTCAGTGCTAATGGGGCAATTAACCACTGTGATACCCCCCAGGCGGAAGGATAGCCAAAAGCTCCCCAACTCCAAACTTGTCTTTATGACATTTATATGACAAAATGTGGGGGAAGCTGGGGACCCATCTGACACCTTGGAGGGTCCTTAATGTCACTCCCTCCCTTGCCCCCGCCCCTTTTCTGCCCCAGGGTCTGGCACTTTGCAGGAAGTGTAATACATCATGTACAGGAGAGGCTCGGGCCTTGTCCGGGAGGGAGAAAACTTTGTACTCCAACGGGGCAACTCTGATTAACACACTTTGTCTACTTGATGATTATGAATGTAAACTAGCCTTTATACACACAAACACACTTCCATGTCAACATACTCCAACTTGACCTCTCCCTTCACTTAAGTCTTTTTTGGTGTCTGTAAGTCCCCTCTATCTTTGTCTCTGCTCACATTCCCCCTGTCTTTCTTACATCCCCAAGGAGGCAATAACCTCCCTAGCAAGTGCTTCCCCTTGAGCCGTTGTCATAGTAACTTGTGGGCTGGTCGACATGACAACCCCACCATGGTCCAGAGATAGATGATAGGCCAGAAATGGGGAGGGAGAAGGCACATGGGGGATTTGCACCCCCTTTAATTTGGTTTGCCTGATTCTGAATCAAAATGTGTTTTTTTTTTCTCCTCTCTCGAAGGGTGAGGCTTGTTCAGCATCAACCTGCTTTACATTTATACAGGTATTTACCGCCTACAAACACTGCCGGCCGCAGAGCAACTACACTGTTACCTGCCTTGCTCTATGGCGTCTGGATGGACATTGTTGAGGGAGAAAACAATATGTCTCAACCTCCTTCTATAGTGCTATTTATACTAAAAATAATTTAATAGTAAAATATGAATAAATTATATATTGTGCTTTTTTCCCCCCCATCTCTACAATTGATCTGAAAAACAGTAGTAATTTTCTTCTAACCAAAATGCGTATACTGGAAATTGTAAGGAAACCTGTATGTTTTTACACTTTGTCCTAAACCCAGCAGTCTGCTATTTACTGTTATCAACAAATGCGTAGGAGGAAATGCTGATATTCAAAAGCCCGGGAGCAAAAAGATATCCATGGTTATGTTACACAACACACACCTTAACGCTCAATTCTGATTTATTGTTCACATCTGATTTTTTTTTTTTGCCTGGTTGTTTACATTATTGAATTTAATTTAATTTTTTTCAAATGTGGCCCATATCAGAATCCAGTGTTAACAGGTCTTGAATTGACCTGCTTGATAAATATTGATCCGCAGTGACGTAAAAGTCACATGAATTCTGATATGACTGTTCACACTGAGCTCACATTGCAAAGAATAATCAGACCAGTATATGATTTTGACCACATACGGATACCCCCGTCTTTCTAGGACTCCATTTCCCAACATCTGAGGACAGGACTGTAACTGTCCCAGCACCATTTTATTTACTTTATCATACCATGAATTAAACAGGTTCGGTATTGCTGCAATTTACTCAGTCTGTTAAACTTGCTGTCTGTGGAAGAGGATTCATGGCTCCTTCTCAAACTAAACATTTATTGAATAATGTAAATGTGAAAAAGGCACTAACAATAGTAGCTGATATTTGTCGCTTTGCACAAATACATTTCAATTATTTATTACATCTTCTATTTATTACAAATGTCCTGTTTTTCCAGTGGGGTGGTCCTTCAAGTGGAGGACTCGAAGAGAGGAACCATCCTCACTACTGAGCGACATGATGAATCACAACCAGCTCCAGGTGTGCTGCCCCTCAGCTGCCCCTGACCCCCCGTGTAGACGGTAGCAAACAAAAAGAGACATTTCCTATAAAAATCAATAAATCAGGATTATTTAATAAATATTAAAATATATCAAATGTTTTATATATACCAAGTATACATATAATGCCTCAATAGAGCAGTGTACATTAAGTCCAGTCACATATTTTGAGGGCAAAGATATAAAAAGATAAGATAACTGAGTTACACAACATTTCACCACTCGTCCATGGGGTTTCGTGATTGTGGAAGAATGCCCCGGCTTTAAACCTCGATCTCCAGAAACTGCAACACAACATTTGTTTGGGTTAAAATAAATATACGTTGTTTTCCCCCAAATTGAATGCCATAAATAAATTAAATACAGCAGAATTCCCCAAACCCTTCATAAAAATCTCTTTGATGAATCAGATTTAGTTTTTAATTATTTAGTATTTTACTTACTACCTTAAGGATAATAAATAACAACTTGCAGGTGGATTTTGTGCCTTTGATGTGTGTGTGTGTGTGTGTGTGTGTGTATCAGAAATAGGTTTGTTCTGGCTCTAGCATACCTACATGCCATGTTACAGAGACTTTCAAATTCACTTCTGTACAATAACTGCAGTCTTTGGCAAAGCAAAACTGAAAATCACCACTTCTCCCCACACACCAAGCTACATGGTTTTGTGCTTCATATTTTTTTCCTTATGGTGCACTTTGATTACGAGTCAGTCGTGTCTCTCATCTGGCCTGTGCCACTGTTTCCTTTTTTATTTTGGATACTTGCTGTTTTTAGTTTTTTTTTTTGTTGCCTCTGCCTTTGACAGATGAATTTCCCCTTGGGGATCAATAAAGTGTATCGTCTCATTTCATCTCATCTCATCTCATCCCCTCAGCCATGGCCTCCTGCAAGGAGAACATTAATAACATTAATGCTGGATGTAGATGAGTGTTCCTACAGGTAGCCAATATTTAGATCCAATCATACTCGACCATAAGTAGAAGGAACAGATAGATGGACAGACAGATAGGTGGAGGAAGGGAGGGGCAATTGTTATTCATGCCATTTCCAGTTCTCATTAAATGGATTAACCGAAAAACATGGCAGTAAAACTGAGCAACAGCGCCCCTCGATGGTCTGTGCTCGCAACTGAAAACATGCACACACACACATACACACAAAGGGCCTCCCGGGCACCGTACATTCGCGGAAGTTCTCAAATCATTGTTTACTAGAAAGGCATGGGGAGATTTATCCGGATAAATGTAGACTTTGAACGTTAATTGCTGATATTCCTGTTTATTCCAGGACTTTAAATATGGAAGATGAATGGGAAGAGGAGGTACGAAACACAATTAGTATTTGCTGTTTAAAGCTACAGCACAGCGGTATCAGTGTTAGCTTAATGTGGCTAACACGTTTGTTAACTCACCCTGATAAAAGACGACTGGTTTAACTACAGCATGAATTATTGTGTTAGCTTACAAATTGGGGACGAACTTCCCACCTAATTTGAGTTTTTTTAATCGTGTATTAATACTGGTTCCTTGTGTAAATGTAAATAGTTAACTATATTGTAATGAGTTTTCTTTTTTCTTTTCACTATTAAAGTTATCTCTCCTTTTTCTGTCTGTTGTGTTCAGGAGCAGCTTGTTGTGGTGGAGCTTTCTGGTATTATCAACAACGACTTTCTGTCCAAATTTCGAGGCACATGCAAGATACTGGTGAGTTTCAGATATTGATGCTTTGTGGTAAATAAAGAGAAGAAGCCTGGGCACTATGTATGACATTAACATCAGTGTAGGTGTGTCACTGCAGCATTTATTGAATCGGTTGTGTCTGTGTGTTTCAGGATATTGACAGCGAGAAGCCCATGATGCAGGTTGGACAATATGTGTTTGCAGGGGAATATGAAGGTAAGAATGAACCTTAAAGGTGTGTGTATTCAATAATCTACCACATCTGTATATGAAAAGTTAT